ATTTCAAGAATATTTCATAAGTATTTAATATGATTTAACAAGCTGTGCCTAAATATTTGTACATCATATGACAAAAATCCATCATATACCTTCTTCATAAACACAATATACATTAGTTAAAACATCAAATATTAAATTATTTAATAATAATTAATAAATTCAATTTATCCCCATTATTTGCATAAGTTAATTTTCATATTAAAAAAAAAAACAAAAAAAAACAAAAAAAAAAATTATAGAGGTAATTCCAATTTACGTCATGTAGATGGCGTTGCGCGGAGAATGAAAAGAGGGATGTAAGTCGTGCAGTTGGTAAACGAATTTCATTGTTTTTAAGTATTTAAAATTTGTCAAATTTAACGCTGTCGTATATACATAAAGAGATAATGACATTGTAGAAGCTAATGTATAGAAAAAATGATAAAATTTACATTATATTCGATGCTGAAGTAGCTAGGAGTCGTTGCCATGACAACAGTAGTACATGATGGTAGCGATTCGGTGCAAGATTTAAATCATGAGTTTGATTAAATGGTTGTTAAAGCCAGTATTAGGAGATAATGGAGAAGATAGTAAAGGTATGTTAAAATTAATAATAACACTAATTTAATACAAATTCATTTAATAAATTTCTTCACAGAATTTCAAATGATGATTATTTTTCATCTCTATGATGCCTTGACAATGATATTTATTAATATCTTTAATTCTATGAAAATTTATAAAGCTAGAAATGCAATACCTGACATTATTAGATATGGAGTTTTTTTTCTTACATTCTAAAATATAATTTAAATTTCTTTATATTCTCATAACTCTATTCATAATGTTTAATTATTCAATATATTGTGAGTTTTGCTAATTGTCTTTTTGCTTTAATATTAATAAATCAAATTATTTTTAGAATGCAAAAGTAATATCGAAATGTGCGGTTAAAACCGAAGAACACTTTGCAATCATTAAAAGTATAAATTAAATTTCTTAATTTTAACGTTAACATTTTACTTGCGTGGCTCTAACTATAGAAATTACATTTAATCAATATTGTTTACATTTGAATTGCTTTTTTTTTGTAATTGTTTCATTAACTGTTGTATTGTTGCATTTTATGAATTTGACTGGAAGAAAAATTTAATCGTAGTAGAATTCACCTATAACATATAACATGCAATTTACTTTTTTTAAATGACAAAGTTTTTCTATCGAAAACCAAAAAAAGTTTTAAAGATAAGTCAATGCATTTGTTTAATGAATACGTAAATATAAAATATAAAAAAAATCAATTGAGCTTTTGTGATTCGATCGAATCACTTATAATATTTAGAGTATAAGAAATTTTTAAGTAAAAAAGTTTAATAGAATTAATGTATTTTTATATTAAAAAAATATTATACTTGAATTTATATAACTATTTTTAATTCTTAAATTTTGATAATCGATAATTCTTCCTTGGAAATGATTGATTAGACAGTTTTCATCTCTTATATAATTACATTTAGCAATATGAGCAGCTGATTTATATATTTGAATATTGCTAATATTTATCCTTATAGTAATTGAAAATGTAATTAGTTTAATTTTTTCAATGTTTACAATAGTTACATATACAATAGAGAATAGCATATCTACTTTATAATTAAGATTTAAATTAATAAGTAACTTATTTTTATTTATAAATGAGAGAAATGCTTAAATAAAATTTCAGAGACATTTTATAATTGTTTATGAATAATTCATTTATAGTATTCAATAATTAAAAATTGTTAATATCTAATTATTCGTTTACTTGTATGCTTATCTTTAATTAAACAGATAAAGAAATCTTTGATAAAAATAAAATTGAAAATTTGATGACTAATGTAGTTATCATGATATAAATGCAATAAAATATTTTTTGCATTACTAGTAAATCAGTAAAAAAAATTTCAGTGATGTAAAAATGTGTATAATTTTAAATAAAAAAATGTATAATAATATTCTGTAAAAGAATTTAAAAATTGATTGTATTGATAATGCAACAAGTGCTTACACTTGTTGCATCATTGAATTTCAATTTTATTTTTAACAGATATTTTTTCATTGAATATCAATCTAAAATAAATAGATTTGATTTACATTTTAATGTGAAGCTATTTTCTTTTTAGCAGAAAAACCATTATTTCTGAATTAGATTAAATAAACTTCTTTTTATTTTCCCCTCTTTAGTTAATATGATGAAAATTTTAAAAAAAGCATTTATTTATTATATGTAATGCATAAATAATGAAATTCATTATTTATGAAAGCTGAACAAAATTTAAAAATAGAATAATAAAGTATTATTTGAAAACTAATGATAACTACATAGAAAAATTTGCAAATTAGACTGAAATCATAAAATGTTACAACTGATATTGAATGTATAAATATTTGATCTGTTGTATTACAAACTAGTTTCGTTTGTTTATTTGTTTTGTTATATATTAAGGTTGTTGTTGTTTTAAATTATCATTATTAACTTTAAACATTTTGTATCAAAAATATAATTGCTTAAATTGTAATTCAAGTTAAGTTATAAAACTGACTGTTCTATAGTCATTCCTAATATTAACTGTAAGATATTACTTAAATTTATAGGTAAAGATGATGATAAAGATTTTGAAATTAATAAGCTAATTATTTAGTAATTTTTATATCAATTTAGCATAAATGTGCTTTTATTATGAATTTATGTTGATTTAATTTATAAGATAACTACAGTATTTCTATAATTTTTATATTAAAGCTGAAGAGTTTTTTTAATTTCATAAAAAAAATTAACACTGATTATACAAATTATTCTCTAAAATAAAATTATAAAGCTTTTCTTAAATGATTTTTTTTAAAGCATTGAGAATTATTTATCAAGGTAAAAATGTCAAAAATGATATTGCATTTGTTTTTTTTAATTTTTGTTTTGATGGTGGAAATTTTTTCTGAGTACTCTATTTAATTACAGTGACTAAATGTTTTATGTTGTTATGCAACAATGATTTTACTGGAAACTGTGAGAATATAAATTGTCTGCTCCAAATAGACTAGAAAAATGCAATATATAAGCATTTTATTTATGGTATTCAAATTTATTTCGTAAAATAAACTTTTTTGTATTTTATACATTTAATTATATAAAAATTATATTGTGCATTGTTTTTTAAAATTGATTTTAAACTAATTTACCTGTTGATTAATTTTTACTGGTTCATAATTTAACAAGAAGGTAAACATAAAAATATTAATATTTTTTTTATCATTTTATTTTTTAATTCTCTTAATCAAAAACAGTTACTGAAATATTAAAGATAATGTAAACATCATTTATTAAATTAATTTTTTTTTATTTTTTAACATTTCAATCTTAAATAAAATTATATTTATTAATATTTAACAAATATTTACAAAAGAAAAAAATATATAAATCAACCAAGTTTGAATTTCTTTTTCCTACAGCACTTAAATCTGTTATTGTGATATTGTGTAATGATTAATTAATTAATTAATTGTTGGTTAATTTGTTGAGGTATGAGTTTTTTGTAATCTGATCTGATCTTGTAGAATAAAATTTTTGCATAGTTTTAATTTTAAGATTTTATAATAATGTATATTTCTATTGAATTCTAAATAACCACAAATAATAACTTTCATCATCAATATTATTATTATTTTTAAGCCAATATAATAATCATTTTAATTTAGTTGTTAAGATAAATCATATAATTTCAAAATTCAATTATTAAAATATTTTTTAATGTTAGTTTTTATAGTATGCTGGAAAATGTTCTTATACAGTAGAGATTGTTATAAATGGCAACAAACAACTTAATTGAATAAACACAATATTAATACAACCAGTTAATTCCTCTTAATGTAGAATTTTTGTATACTATTTCCAATACAGATAACAGTCAACACATTACTTAACAGAAATTTTTAAATTCCTATATACAAAACCATATTTTAAAGAATAAACATATTAAAGTTGTGGTCTTGTAATAAAATTATTATATTTTGAATAACCTTTTATAAAGTACACACTAAATTAACATATAAACTTTTTGAAATATTTTAGTTGTTTGACAAAATTTTTATACGCTACTTAATAAAATTTTATTTATATCTAGGAAACATTTCTATAATGACATAGGCTGTAGTGTCATTTCTATAAAAACATGATTTCATACTTTTGCAAAACAAAACAACAATAGGAAATACATTTACAATTTAATAACTTTCAAATGACAACAAAACATTCAGATATGTTATATTAACTATCACTGAATTGACCTATTTCTTAGTATAGGTTGAACAAAACATAGAACAGATGTGAGCTTTTAATAGTTACACTGTCATTATTCTTATTAGCAAGAATAATGGTAAATAGTGAAGGATATTTGTACCTTTTGAAATATTGTGACATAATTTCAGAAAATGTGAGAATTATTAAAATTTATAAAAATGATTTGTCTTACTAATAATAATCTTACTAATGATTTGTCTTACTAATAATAATAAGCAGACAAAATAATCTATATTAAGTAGACAATATGGAAAAGTTCAAACAATAGCTGTTTGTATTCCTTGTTCACAATTGCAGATAATTAGATAGGATTTGCTAAGTTATATAATTTATAATGAACTATTACTAATACTAATACTGTTATTTTAATACACATTAAGTTTTTGTTTTTTCTATTTTAGTAGTTTAATTTAAATATAGTTAAATTACATTGCCTTATAGTATTAGTTAATAATGTAGTTTGTACAAAAAAGTAATAATGGGCACACAGTTTTTTGAAAATACTAATTGGAAATTTATATTTATAGTACATTTTAATATACTAGTTTATTGAATGTACAACAATGAATGTTCTAATTTATTAAGACATGTTCATTTATTGAGATTTTTTATTGAGAAAATTTTTGCTCAATACTATGTTACAAAATTAAGATTTTAAAACACTTGTAATATTGTATGTAATTTTCTGCCAAATAATTTCATAAAAATTGAGCAGATGTTACCTTTCAAAGAATTAAAAAGGTTTTGAATAACTAGGAAAAATATTTCAGTTAGAAAACTATAGATTATTGAAAAACATAAAATTTAAACAAATAATTTTTGTACAGATATTTAAAAGAATATAATTAGTAATAATTAATATGATAAAAAATATATATTTAATTGGTAAAATATCAATTGGAATTTGATAATTTCATCGAAAATTAATTAATGAAGGTTGATATTATTTGATATGCAAGAAATACAAACATTTCTATTCCTATTACTATTTGCTTTTGTTTTGGTTTTTTTTTTATTTTTTCAACAGTAGGAGTTGTTCAATTAAAATAAAAGATAATCTAAAAGAAATATTAAAAAAAAACATAAAAATTATATATAAATGCCAAAAAGTTCAAATTAATTTCATATTAAATTATACTTAATTCACTTACCAAAAATGCTATATGGTTTAAAATATTCTACAAATCAAATTTTTTTTAATGGAAAACTTGGTTTGATTGCTTACATCGTAATTGTTAATTTCATTTTTATATAAAAAATTAT